TGGGGATCTCTACCGTTTACAAAATATAAGAACATTTGCAAATGACAGGGGGTGGGGGTAAACCTGGAGACTAGCCCGGTATATTTCATTCAAATCAGTTTGACATTATAGAGGAATAGAGAAATGACAGGGATAGGGGTGATCCCTGGAGACTTGCCCTACATTTCATTTGATTTGTTTTATCATGTCCCATGATCATAAATGAAGACCAGGTGTGTGCATCACTTATTGTTCTCAAGTTATAACTTTAAAAATAAAAAAAAAACCTTGGGTTCTTTAGTTAAACCCCTCCCTTCCTTTTTCTTTTATTAAAATTTTTCCCATTTTCGTTTCATTATCATCATATCAATATTCACAATGATCGTTTTTCTCATAGGGAGAAACGAATCAGAAAGGTTAAAAAATCAGTTCGTGATTGAGTTTAAAAATAGAAAAATCACGTGACGATGTTCAGCTCGAAGCAATAATTTTACTTTTTAAATTGCACTGACTGGTTAATAATGTTAATATTGTTTAAGACAACACGAGTTATCTCCCGAAAATAACAATTCATTATCATAACAACATTTTCTGACCTGAACAAGTCAGAATTGTCAAACACCAGGTCATCTAAAAGACCACGCGTCCGTATTTACAGGTCGCGCGCCTTCAAGAAACAGCAAAAAAATCACTTGCAAGGAACTTCTTTTTAGGCAAAAAATATAAAAATGCCCATGAAAATACGGAGGTAATGTGAATTACCTTTCTAAAAATGCCCACAATGACCTAGATTTTCACTAAAAATCGTAAATAATCAATATAATATTCAATGACTTCTCGTTCGAGACACTTCCAAAACAACGACTCTCAAACACGTGATCTCTTGCAAAAAACCTTTTTTCTATATTTTTCTTTAATTATGTATAAAATGGTGTAATCTTATTGAGAAATAAAAAAGTAATTAGCAGCTCATTTGGTCCTGTCATTGTCGAGGTTGGTCCTGTCAGTCAGCGATGGTCATGTCACGTTTCCGCAATTAAAAAACAAATCTATATTTTTTCTTTAATTTATGTATTAAAAGATGAGATCTTATTATATTTTAAATCTGAGATAATTCCATTGAAAAATAAAAAAGTAATTAGCAATTTCATTTGGTCCTGTCATTGTCGAGGTTGGTCCTGTCAGTCATCGATGGTCATGTCACGTTTTCGCAAGTTTTTGAAAAAAATCTATAATTTAAATTTTTTTTATATATTATAGGATGACATCCTATCTTATATTTCAAATCTGAGATAATTCCTTTGAAAAGTAAAAAAGTTATTAGCATTTTTATTTGGGCCTGTCATTGTCGATGGTGGTCCTGTCATTATCAGCGTTGGTCAGGTCACGTTTTCAAAAGCTTCTAAGAAAAAAATATATTTTTTTTTCTTAAATCTATATATAAAATGATGAAATCTTATTATATTTCAAATTTGAGATAAATCCTTTGAGAAATGAAAAAGTTATTAGCATTTTTCATTTGGTCCTGTCATTCGGTCCTGTCATTCGGTCCAGTCATTAGTGTAACCCCACGTGATCGTATGTGTCGTAGATCGGCGGCAAATTCAAAATAACTTCTGGTTTGACGGACTCGAGTGAAAACTACGCAAAACAAAAATTGACGCGTACAGGTCAGAATTTCAAAACACTTTCTGACTTGAAGAAGTCATTTTATTCTGACTTGTTTATGTCAGAGCTCTGACTGAAAAGAAGACATTATAGCTTGCTGTTTGGTGTGAGCCAAGGCTCCATGTTAAAGGCCGTAATTCGACCTATAATGGTTTACTTTTACAAATTGTGACTTGGATGGAGAGTTGTCTCATTGGCACTCATACCACATCTTCTTATATCTATTTGTATGTATTTCCAATAGGGTCCTATGTTAAATTAAGTCCCCCTCTGGCGGCCATCTTGGATGATGGATCGGCTTCAAAGTAACAACACTTGGTCAGCACCTCATAAGGAACATTCATGCCATGTTTGGTTTCATTCCATTCTGTGGTTCTCTAAAAGAAGACATTATAGCTTGCTGTTTGGTGTGAGCCAAGGCTCTGTGTTGAAGGCCTTACTTTGACCTATAATGGTTTACTTTTACAAATTGTGACTTGGATGGAGAGTTGTCTCATTGGCACTCATACCACATCTTATATCTATTTGTATGTATTTCCCATAGGGTCCTATGTTAAAATATGTCCCCCTCTGGCGGTCATCTTGGATAATGGATCGGCTTCAAAGTAACAACACTTGGTCAGCACCTCATAAGGAACATTCATGCCATGTTTGGTTACATTCCATTCTGCGGTTCTCTAAAAGAAGACATTTATATGTATTGTCCATAGGGTCCTATGTTAAACGAAGTCCCCCCCCCTGGCGGCCATCTTGGATGATGGATCGGCTTCAAAGTAACAACACTTGGTCAGCACCTCATAAGGAACATTCATGCCATGTTTGGTTTCATTCCATTCGGTGGTTCTCTAGAAGAAGTTCAAAATGTGAAAAGTTAATGAAGACGACGACAACCGACTATGACGACGATGGACGACGGACGCCAAGTGATGAGAAAAGCTCACTTGGCCCTTTGGGCCAGGTGAGCTTAAAAGAGGTAGCTGATATCATTCAAAATCAAATGTCGATGAGAAACTGACAACACCATAGCAAAAAAAAAATGATGATAAGACAAACAATTAGTCCACAAAACACTTCATAGAATATCAAAGACTGAACTACAAAAACCCGACCAAAAACTGAAGGTAAGAATAATACGACATTATTTTGAGGCAAAATAGATGTATTTACACTTGTATGCAAAGTTGTCTGCCATTACTTAAAATCACACAAGTTCCTGTAAATTTTGACATCACAATTTTAAATCAAAGCATGGTCGATGTTGTGATCCAGCCATATTCATAGCTAGTCTGATATTCTTTCTGACCATACTTTTTTCGATATTTTTTTCTCTTTTCATTTCCAATCTTACTGTAAATTTCTATGTTATTGCCCACAGGTAGGGAATTTCGCAATATTGATGCAAAAAATGATATATATATATTGATATTTCAATTTTAGACTCTGTCAGATTTTTTTTTTTTTTTTTTTTTAAATATTTGCAATTTAATGGTATTGACATGAATGGAAAGGGAAATCGTCAAAAAAGTAATATATTTTTTTATATGCCATTAATTATAACTGGCTTAATAATTTCCAGAACGAGGCCTTGGAAATGCACTTTCTCAACAACAAAAATGAAAAAAAAATAATAACTAATTTTTATCTAAATTGGTGTTAATTCTTCATTAAGAAAAAATACTTTTCCTGTATTCAAATTTAAATGTACAAATACCTAATGCTGAGATATTTCCAATTACTGTTAAATAGTAATATAATGGGATATAAATGTAGAACAAACAAATAAATTTTATTGCAGAAAATGCTCAGGTAAGAGTTAAGCAATTTTGTTTATTGTTTCAACCAAATTTCTGATAATTGTAACTAATTAATTAGATCTTGATTATTGACTTATGTCAGATGATAATGACACTGATTTTACAAGTGAAATAAAATTTGGTTGCATTTTTTATACATATTTTTACATTTTTTGTCTTTTCTTTGAAAAAAAACCATGTTTGATTAATCATTCAGCTAGCTAGCAAAATTAACAGAATATTTTAATGTAGTGTAGATCAAAATAAATAATACATTTGTGGGTTTACTATTGAGGTCAAGAATGTGTGTATTCAGTTAGGTGTGTAATAAATTGTGCCTATTTAATTATGTAACAGGTCATGAGATATTAAATGTGGTGAATTAAGACTTGGGTTGTTTCCAATTAATACTTACACCTTTGAGTGTAATTATTTGAAAATCATGACAGTTTATAATCATACTGACTCTTACTTGCCTATGGAAAGAATTGGAGTAATACCATTTCAAAAAAGTGTGGGAATCAACTTAGATATATTAACACACATGTTGACCTAAATTTCATAGAACAAAAACTTACACAAGCATAAGATAATAATATAATACTTTCAAAATTGTTATCAACTGATTCAATTGATGTAAAAATACTTTTTCAATTTATTTCATAAATAATAAATCATTATAAATTTTGATTTACAAAGGAACTATATGCAAGTGTATATCTAAAATAAAAGAGTTGTTAGACCAATCTTTTCTTAATTTAAGGGCAAATAACATGTCAAAAGTTGGCAGTTGATGATTAAAATGGTGTAGAAAGTTTCTGTAAGTCATAAAAACACATAATTAGTTTCATGACATGTCTTCAACTTAGTATTCTGCACAATCTCCAAAACAAAGTGATCGCATAGATCCAACATGGCTGAATCAAAAATTGACGTCATAATTAAAAAGTGATTGTTGCTTGTCTTGACGTCAAAAGGTTATTCGGAGCAGATCTAAGGTCAGTCAGAGACAAAATCAAGCTTAATACCAAAAATGTAAATAGGTTTATTGGCTGTAAGTTTACCTTTATTACAATTTTTTTTTTTTTTATAAAAATAGTAGGGTGGGGCATGCACCCGAATTAACACCTGCGGACATGTATATAGTAGAACTTGAAGTTGAAGGAAAATTCAGCTTCTTTTCATTCCTCCTTAAAAGCTCCTGTGCGATTGATTGATTGATTGATGATTGTATAATGTCCAGTGGCAAATATTTCATTATGTTCTGGACTAGTTCCTGTATGAAGTCTGACTTATATTAATGAAGTATTAAGTGGGAAAGAAGAAGAGCACAGTTGGTTTCAATAGGAATGCCGATTGCGTGTTGAGAAACACCTGTTCTCAAAATGTAACAAATTATCCAAATATGTCAAAAAAAAATCAAGCATCTTCAATTCTTTTGGATATATTTGTGCTTGTATCAGATTGTTTTGTACAAATTATGATTTGACCCTTCAAACTAGAATAAATATATGTATAGCAGAAGCAAAAGTACCTATTTCGGTTACCTCTTAGACTTACTGTGTTTAGATGGGAAATATAGGCCTAATTTGGGACATGGAAGACGTTCTCACTCTCTTTTCGGTAATAATACTAATATGCAGTATTACTTTCAATTACGACAATCCTAACTATAAATGATCCAACGAATCAAGCTGATTCATCAAATTCAGGGATTTTTTTTATTGAATTTGAATCTTTACGTGGAAATAATATAAAAAATAGCGCCAAAATTATTTTCTCCAATATTTCAATTTTGCGACAATAAAAGTGAAACTAGACTTATGTCCCTTGAAACCAAGGCGCCTTGAAAAATCTATACTAACAATAATTTCTTTTGGTTGACAAGTTATTTAGAGGAAAATATGAAAATTCAGACTGGTAGCTACCTTTTTTATAACAATATATTAACAGTTGCATCATATACTTTCCAGTAAGTTTCTTGCAAAGAACTTTAAGAAGGGGGCGGGGCAGGTGGTGAGGTGCAAAGCGAAGCAAATTATCAGATGTCGAACACTAAGAGACGGATTTATGAGGACAAAATCTGGATACACACGTGGACAGACCACAGGCAACACCGAATCTGGGTCCGTTCACCCTAGTACCTGTCGTTCGTCGTTGAATTACATAATAAACTTCAAAAAAATTCATTTGAATGATTATAAGATATTTTTGTAGTTGTAGTTTATTGTTTTATCAGAAAAAAGTAAAATCACAAAAATACTGAACTCCGAGGAAAATTCAAAAAGGAAAGTCCCTAATCAAATGGCAAAATCAAAATCTCAAACACATCAAACGAATGGATAACATAACTGTCATATTCCTGACTTGGTACAGGTATTTTCTTATGTAGAGAATTGACGGAAAGCAAATTGCATGGAATACATATTACGTTAACCAAAAAATATATTCATGTGCCAGGCCATTAATTCAATGACACAAATATACAATTTATGCGTGATAAAGGTTAAGGATGGGGAAATTTAATTTATTGTCTCCAATTTTAAAAAATTATAAGAATTAAACGCTTTTTTACAGGAATTCATTGGTGTATAAACTGGACCAAGTCACTCACAAACATATCATAAAAGTCCTGTTATTCTTCTTCTTCAATCTTTGTCGTGATGACAGGGTAGTCTCTGTTGTGAATTAATATCCTCTCTTGTGAAATTATAGTCACTAATGTAGTTTCTCCGTTGTACTTAAATATCTTAGGTGGCGCTTTATTAATAAAGGGAAAAAAAAATGATAATAATAAAAAAGTATTTAGAAAAAATTAAAATTTAAAAAATTGTATAATCAGGTAATTGAATTGACATGAAAAAAAATAAAAAGAATGTCTATTAAATTATCCACTAAAACGGTTTGTTTCCTCTATGTACTCTGCTAATAATTGAATGACATTTTCTGCATTTGGCATATTGATTGTTAATAAATTGTCTAAATCTATTGGAATTTGACCTGTTATGAAATAAATTTGATGAAATAATTTGTCTCTAGCATCGGAATAGCGATCACATTCAAAAAGGTAGTGTTGTACATCTTCTTTTTGTTTGCAGTGATCACAGGTTTCAGAATTGATGTGTTGGTTTATTATAAACTGGTATGCATTTAGTTTGGAATAACCTGTTCTTAAACTGTTGATTATGTTGTACATTCTTTTTGAAGGGAAGTCTTTTTTAACTTTATTTTTAACTTCAGGATGAAATCTAAAATAATGACGTCCAGAATTGCTGTTTTCCCATCTTCGTTGCCATCTTTTTGTAACTGAATTTCTAGCGTCTTTTTTTCTTGTTTTTGAGTGACTTGGTCCAGTTTATACACCATAAATTCCTTTAGAAAGGCATTTAATCCTATATTAACAGTCCCAGTGTAAATGTAGATATAACATTTGTGAGCATCAATGATCAAAACTCATAGGATCTAAACTGATTGGAAAGATGTCCATATGGCAATCCAACTGAATAAATTTTGTTTTATTGTAATCATTTGCATACCTGTCAACCTATGACAATGAAAATGCAGGTGATGACCTGCATAGAAGAATGAAATCTCAGGTCATAACGTGTACGAACTTTTTCGAGCTGAATTTCAGATTTAGGGGACATTTTTCTTACAATTTATATCAAAGTTTCCAAAACATGTCCACATGGTTAAGTAATTTAAATTGTACAATTTATTATTTCATTGCACTTGGAGGCCATTGATAGATTTGTGTTACATTGCCTTTATTCCTGTTCATATTCAGTCACTGACATACAAAGTGCCAATTTGTGTTTTCTTTGCATATATTTGTGCAGTTTTTAAACAGTAGAACATACCAGGGGGTTGATATTAGAGTATAGTAAAATAAAGTTAAACAATTAAAGGAGGTATAGATGAAAAAAGTAATTTTCAAAATTTTTATTTTTTAATTGTTATAAGGTAGAACAATAAGTAAAAGTATTATTCTGATATGTTTTTGCATTCAATTCATTTTAGATTTAATCTTTTTACAAAAAAAACATAAGTTTAAGGAGTATATTGTGAATTGACAAAAAAGGGGAAGTAACTCAAATTATTTTTAAAACAACTTTGAAATACACAAATTATTTACGACCTAAAGCTAAGGTAATTGGTGTTAATTAACAGTGTGTTTGACACCAAAGCTGTCAAGTGAAGCCATGCACTGAAATGGGTTACTTGAGCTGAGTTTACACAGCTAGTTGAACTTCTTGTCCAGGAAGAATTACGAATTTGCCGGTTTATATCTAATCAGTCTGAAGGCTTACAAATCTGGGTGAAAATGGGTTATTTTTCCGAATTCCCGGGTTATTTGGTCACCCGGCTGGTGTTCTGGGTGACCCCTCAGAATTGTGAAAATCTCGGGTCACACCCGCAGGATCCAGGTCAGTTGACAGGTACTAATGTATTTTATGTGTTCATTTAGTATTGTGGGGTTGACATATGAAACTTTTACCAACGAATCAGCCATAATAGTGGAGGATCAACTTTGTCTTAGGGAGTTTCGCTATTAGTAATAGCACAATGATACATTTCATTCCTTGAATTCCTACACTCTTTGATCTGCCAACAAAATACAGGTAAAAATGTCTTGTCAAGGAAATAGTGTCCGATTAATATTAAGTGTATTCAAGACTAAGTAATTATTTTTTGTGCAGATAAGCTTCGACTCCAATAAAAATTCATGCAAGGTGATATCAGTTTTTCGAGTTTTTCTGTTTGTTTGCAATAATTCAGAATTATTATTTTTAATGTTTATTTGATATGAAGAGATCTTTTTTATTTGGAAGGATTTGTAAGAAAACTTGTAGACAGCTTAGTGAAAGTATATTTAAAAATATTTAGAATAAGGAACATGTATGTATTCAAGTAACTTTTAAGGATACCAATGACATTTATTCTATCTTGTAAAACAAGTGCATAGGTATATGAAAATAAAGAATAATAAAAAAGCACACCAAAAGCAATTGTCTGTGGAATTTTCCAAAGGTGTCATAATTCCAACCAGGCAATTCTTAAATTTTATGTATATACTATATAACTCTGTAATTTTGAAATTACAACTTTGCAATACTTTCTTTGTAACAGTGCAACTCAACTATTGAATGTCTGAACAACTTGAACTTTGCATCTATGCAAATATCCAATCCAAAATGCTGCATGGTATATAATTTGTGAAAAGTACTTTTGTAATTTTGTAAATTTGTGACATGTATATATTTATAATTCGAAATTTGCTATATATTGTCAATGTTGTTTAAAAGTGTATTCTTCAGTTGAATACTTGCAAATTGAAATTTAAGTATTTTCTATATATTTTGAAATGGTACCATATCACATCACTTAAATGGGATGTTGGTTTTGAGTCTTATTTTTTTTAATTTTAGTTCTAGGACCAATAGATCCCAGCTCAGCAGGACTGGTTCTTCCACATGAACATCTCTCTATTGCTGCTGGTGCTTTAGGTGTCAAAGTCAAAGATGAACGGTTTAAGGATTATGAGAATGCAGCTGTTGCCATGGATACCTTGTGGTGGATTAATCAGAATCCGTATGGATATTAAGGCTTCACCCTATATTTAATCAGATGTAAAGGTTGGGGTAATTGTAAATGTGATAATTTGAATACAAGTATCAGGGGCGGATTCAGGCGGGGACGTGGCGGGCGTGCACCCCCCCCCCAAAAAAAAAAATTTCAGTTAGCGCCTCCCCTAACCTAAAATCCTGGATCTGCACCTGAGTATGAATGTTTAAACATTTTAATAAAGTTGAAAAATATTTACCTGTATGTGTGAGGTTTTCTTTTCATATTCCATGCATTTAATATTAAAGTATTCTATTTCTGATCTTCAATGAAGACCTTAAAGAAAGAAAATCTACACCATTAGAACTTCTGATGAGCATAAATTTTTCTGCTGCTTTTATCTCCGATTTAGTAATTTGCATGATCATCTGTAGCAACCTTTATTTGATTCCTTTATGGATGCTTGCTTCTGATGTTTTCAACTTTTCTTTGATATTCTGTAACCACTCTACCTAAATCCTAAGCTATATTTATCAACCTCAATATTTTTTGATATATTTTAGAAGATTACATTGTTTAAGTTTTTGCTAAAAGTCCAGATATACTTGGATGAACCCAAAGAAACATAACCCATGTTCACATGGGAGAATATTTTACATTCATGTCAAAACTTAAAGAAACAAAGATAAGAAACTGATCTTTTATATTCAAAACTTCAGTTTAGATTACAATGAATTATATATTAGCTTACTTAAGGGCAAAAATATCACAGATTTGTTCTTGCTTAACATAAGCCATCTGTCTGATTTCTATTGTCCTGCACAAACAGTTTCTGAAAATAATTCTTTTGCAACAAAATATCATCAGAGTCCTAATTTCATGTTATATGCAATATTCATGGCAAACAGAGCTACTGCAGAAAATAGAAGGGGAAAATACACAGATTGGTTGCTGGCATTGTATGTCAACGGCCTACATTCTCTGGTGGTCATGGCCATTTTAGTTAAGAATGTATCAGTGTTGGGTAAAAAGGAAGTTAATGAGTGATGAATGTGAAA